ACACAACTTCGCGTTTGTTCTTCCACAAACAGGTATAAGGTACGCCTCAGGAGGTCATAGGCACGGATGGCAAGAAGGGAGACCATGTCACTTGAGTGGGTGTCCAAGGAGTTTGAACCACCTACCCATGAAACTTACTTGTACTTTGGTATTTTCCTAAATAAATCTTTTATATACCATTGCTATTTGATGACACATTGCTGCCACACACACCCAACCTTAAGGTTCGGTGGGTCAGATAACACCTGGGCTGTATAACCACCTGGCACACCTGGTCAGATGTTTTGTCTCCGGTAAGGCCCCATTGTTGGTAGGTGCCATCAGGTCGGTTCTGACTCACACACTGCCCGGTCCTGCACCATCTTCACAATCGTTGTTATCTGTAAGCCCGTTGTTGCAGCAACTACGTCGACCCCTCTCCTTGAGCGAGGGTCTTCCTCTTTTTCGATGTCTTCCACTTTACCAAGAATAATGTCTTCTTCCAAGAACGGATATCTCCTTACAACGTGTCCAACGTCTAAGGAGCATGCTGGCTGCACTTCTTCAAGACGGACTTGTTTCTTCTTCTGACCGTCCACGGTACTTTCAACATCCTGCACCGCCATACTTCCTATGGGTCAATGTTTCTCCGGTCTGCACATGCATAAGGAGTGGCTACACATGCCGTGGTCTGTTTCAAGCGCACCTTCGTCCTCAAAGTGCTCTTCAACACAATAGCAAGCCATAATCGCGTTCCCAAATGAGACTAGCGTCCTCCCCAAAAGGGCACAGAGGTGCTCCCAAGTCCTAGAGGTTTGCAGTGGGACTCTCCTGTTGGTGCTTGTCAGAGGAGCCACACTTCATTCCTTGGTGTCAAGGCCACATGCAGAGTATCTGCTGGATCCCAAGTTTAGGGCTAGGCTAAACTTGCTCTTGTCTCCACACGAAGCTGCCAGGCTTATGTATGGAAGTAGCAAACTCAAATGTAGGGCATGTTGTCTGTCAAATCTCCAAAGCTGCACCCTTACACTACCGGCCATGAACAAGAAGCCCAACACTGGAAGGTGACAAGCTGCGAAGCACAGAGGTGGGCTGGCCGCAGAAGAGAAGGGTCCATGTGCCCTTCCTCCTGGTGTCCTTCTGAAGGTCTGTGTCTATATGCTCCTGGGAAGGCTGAGCGAGGATGCCAGTCTGGGGGTTGATACCACTAGAGTTGTTGCCTGTGAGTCCTGGCATCGTGCAACCACCTCTCTGGAAAACATCCTCGCCCTCTGACCCTGGCCTGCTCCCACAGAGGTTAGGGTGGAGTCGATGCTTTGGGTTGTCCTAGGAACCTGGTGTCTTGTCTCCAGATGGCAGGCCCACCTGGGTCCTCTGAAGCCCACACCCATCACATAGCTGATGTGAAGTCGCTGGGTGAGTATATTCCTTTTTTC